CAAAGTGTTTTGTATCATTACATACAGCCGGGAAAAACTATTGGATGTCAGAGCAGCGGTAACTCACCAGCATTACGACCAGGAATACGACTTTCCCAAAGCAAATCCTTTGTTTGCTCTCCCCAGGGCAATTGAACTGATTCCAGCGGCTGACCCAAAACATCGCCGGCGGAGGAGAGGCACTCGGAGCGGCCTGCTGGTTCGACTTAGGAGGCGCGCACACCACCCACCGCTTCCAAGTATACTACTCGCTAATGTTCAGTCTTTGGATAACAAGGTCGACGAGCTCAGGGCAAGGATTTCTTTCCAGAGAGACATCAAGGCCTGTAACATACTTTGTTTCATGGAAACATGGCTCTCTGGAGATATTCCGTCAATCGGTCCAGCCAGATGGGTTCTCAGTTCATCGCGCAGACAGAAATAAATATCTCTCCGGGAAGCAGAAGGGTGGAGGTGTGCGTTTCATGATTAACGACTCATGGTGTAATTGTAGTAACATACAGGAACTCGAGTCCTTTTGCTACCCGACTGAGAATACCTCACAATCAAATGCCGACTGAATTAATCTCCCAAGAGAATTTTATTCGGTTATAGTCACGACCGTGTATATCCCCCCTCAAGCCGGTACCACGACGGCCCTCAAAGCACTTCACTGGACTTTATGCACACTGGAAACCACATATCCTGAGGCTACATTTATTGTAGCCGGGGATTTTAACAAAGCAAATTTGAGGACTAGGCTGCCGAAGTTCTATCAACATATTGACTGTTGTACTCGGACTGCAAAATCCTCTACCATTGCTATTCGAACTTCCAGGATGGTTATAAGGCCCTCCGCCGCCCTCCTTTCTGCAAATCTTACCACAACTCCATTTTGCTCCTCCCTTCCTATAGGCAGAAACTAAAACAGGAAGTACCCTTGCTAAGGACTATTCAACACTGGTCTGACCAATTGGAATCCACGCTTCAAGATTGTTTTGATCATGTGGACTGGGATATGTTCTGGGTAGCCTAATAATTTAGACGAAAACACTGAAACGGTGACTGAGTTTATCAGGAGGTGATATTGTGCCCACTGTGACTATTAAAACCTACCCTAACCAGAAACCGTGGATAGCATTCGCGCAAAACTGATAGCGCGAACCACCGCATTTAACCATGGCATGGTGACTGGGAATATGGCAGAATACAAACAGTGTAGCTATTCACTCCGCAAGGCAATTAAACTGGCAAAACATCAGTATAGAGACAAAGTGAAGTCGTTTTCAACTGCTCAGACACGAGACGTATGTGGCAGGGTCTACAGACAATCACGGACTACAAAAGGACACCGTCTCGCTTCCAGACAAGCTTAAACACCTTCTTCGCCCGCTTTGAGGATAACATAGTGCCACCGACGAGGCCAATGACCCCTAGCATACTTCCAAAGTTGTGGCAAAATGGCTTAAGGAGAACGAAGTCAAGGTATTGGAGTGGCCATCTCAATGCCCTGACCTCAATCCTGTAGAAAATTTGTGGGCAGAACTGAAAAAGCGTGTGCGAGCAAGGAGGCCTACAAACCTGACTCAGTTACACAGGCTCTGTCAGGAGGAATGGGGCAAAATTCACCCAACTTATTGTGGGAAGCTTGTGGAACCCAAAACGTTTGACCCAAGTTAAACAATTTAAAGGCAATACTACCAAATACTAATTGAGTGTATGTATGCTTCTGACCCACTGGGAATGTGATGAAAGAAATAAAAGCTGAAATAAATCATTCTCTCTACTATTATTCTGACATTTCACATTCTTAAAATAAAGTGGTGATCCTAACTGACCTAAGACAGTCTTTACTAGGATTAAATCAGGAATTGTGAAACACTGAGTTTAAATGTATTTGGCTAAGGTGTATGTAAACTTCCGACTTCAACTGTATCTTGCGCTACTCATCTCATATGTATATACTGTATTCTATAATATTCTACTGTATCTTAGTCCATGCCGCTCTGTCATTGCTTGTCCATATATGTATATATTCTTAAATTCCATTCCTTACTTAGATTTGTGTGTGTTGGGTATATGTTGTGAAATTGTTAGAAATTACTTGTTAGATATTACTGCACTGTCGGAGCTAGAAGCACAAGCATTTCGCTACACCCGCAATAACATCTGCTAAACACGTGTATGTGACAAATAAAATTTGATTTGATTTATAGCTAATATCAGATAGTCTGCAGATTATGGAGGTTGGATTGCATAAGAAGACTTGAAACAACATGAGTTCACAGTACTTCATCTCTGCTGACAAGTCCTATTCCCTACATAGTGCATATAGGCCGAATCCCAAATGGCACCCTATTCCCCTAAGTAAGCAAGTAGGCTTTGATTAAACTGGGAATGGATCCCGTTTTGAGTAGATGATAGATACTGTTCAAATTGACACCATTTGTACAGTCTGATTTGTACTGTGTCACTCACTAATCTCCAGTTGAGAGAATATAAGGAATAGATAGAGAATCTATGTACAAGTAACTGCCAAAATAAGATAAAGGAAATACCAACAAAGTGTCTTAATAGGGGTTTGGGCCACCATGAGCCAGAACAGCTTCAATGCACCTTGGCATAGATTCTACAAGTGTTTGGAACTCTATTGGAGGGATGCGACACCATTGTTCCACCAGATATTCCATCTGTTTTGTTGATGCTGGTGGAAAACGCCATCTCAGGCACCACTCCAGAATCTCCCATAAGTGTTCAATTGCGTTGAGATCTGGTGACTGAAACAGCCATGGAATATGGTTTACATTGTTTTCATGCTCATCAACATTCAGTGACCACTCGTGCCCTGTGGATGGGGGCATTGTCGACCTATGGGGCCATAGCCATGGTAGCCAAAATAATGGCCTGCCCAGCATTTTTATACATGACCATAAGCATGATGGGATATTAATTGCTTAATTAACTCAGGAACCACACCTGTGGGGAAGCACCTGGGAATGGAGAAGACCCGGGAACGGGTCGCCGCCCGGTCCAGTGGCCCGGGATGAGGAGGGCCGTGGAAGACTACTGTCGCAGCTGCCCGGAGTGTCAACTCACCGCCCCGAAAGCACACTTCCGAAACCCTCTGGTCCCCCTGCCGATCATCGGGGTTCCCTTTGAATGCATCGCCATGGACATAGTGGGACCCCTGGTAAAGACTGCATGAGGACACAGGTACATCTTGGTAATAGTAGACTATACCACCCGGTATCCCGAGGCCATTCCCCTAAGGGCGGCGGTATCCAAGGGAATCGCCCGGGAGCTGTTCCACCTCTTTAGCCGGGTGGGCATCCCAAACGAGATCCTGACAGACCAAGGTACAGAGTTTATGTCCCGCCTCATGAAAGAGTTGTGTGCCCTCATGCAGATCAAGCAGATCCGGACCTCCATTTTTCACCCGCAGACGGATGGGCTCGTCGAGCGCTTTAACAAAACGCTCAAACAGATGCTGCGGAAGGTCATCGAGCAGGACGGGAAGAACTGGGACCAGCTGCTACCCCACCTAATATTCTCAATCCGAGAAGTACCCCAATCCTCCACTGGGTTTTCCCCGTTTGAACTCCTCTACGGGAGGAGGCCACGTAACAGATGGAGTATACATCACGAGGTAGTGGCTCCATCTGCTGGACGTGCCAGGTCTCGACGGGCTCCCCGGACAGGACTAATTGGGGCTGATTGGGAGCTGGTGAGTAATTAAGGGCGGATTGCTCACCAGCTGTGCAAGGTCCATAAAGCTGCCAGAAGGGCATCACATGGGGGAGGACTGGGGGGGGAGGACTGGGGGGAAGTAAGGTAACTTCCGTGTAGTTGGAGACGTTATCCTGGAGAGGGTCTCATGGGGGAGACCTAACCTTTAATTTTGATTATTTTATTAATAAACACCATTGAAACCGAGCTAATCGTACTCTGTCCGTGTCTGATCTGTGTAAACGTCTTGACCCAACCCCCTGATCTGCCACACACATATATATATATATATATATATATATATATATATATATATATATATATATATATATATATATATATATATATATATATATACACTTACTTCAGAAATATATGTATTTTCCTTTATTACAGTTACCTGTATCTTGCATGAGGCACAATGGCCCTGCTTTTTTGCTGCATAATCCGACCTATCGTGTATGTGTGTGTGTGTGTGTGTAAACATGTGAAGCAGGCGTGTGTGAATTGTGACGAGGGGGTACCCAGTCTGAAAAGACTGTGTTCCCAGAATACTGATCAAATAGCTGCAGTGACATCACAGGGTGCCTATGGAAAGGCACCGACAAGGAGAGCGCAGGAGAAGGGGAAATGGAGGATGGGAGAATAGAGTGATAATGCTGCTGCCAAGGGGTTTTGCAGGTTGCAGATATTTTCCTGTCAGTCTGTTTTTCCCCCTGATGATTCTGACTGACTGCAGCAACTGGAGGTTGGATCTCTTCTCCTAATGTTATCCTGATTGAGTGCTGCAGAAGGAAACGAAGGGCATTCTAAACCTCTTTTCCCTGCTGTAAGGTCAAAAGAACAGAACAGGATTTTTGTCCGCTGAGACGGTGAAGCCTAAGAAACCTGCAGAGGGGAGAACGAGGGAAGGAAGGAAGGAAGGAAGGAAGAGGGGATGGGGAATCATAGAAAAAGGGAAACATACAGATCTCAGATGTGTTCTGATTACAGGAAACCTTGTCTGTCTGACTGACTCTATGTACTGTAACCTTGAGTGGCACAGAGGAGAGGAGAAGACCATATGAGTTTTTGGATGTGTGTAGATGGGACATGGGTTCCCCTGGTTGACGGTGCAACAGCTGGTCAGGAAGGCTGAGGCTCCGTGATCGTGAAGGGGGAGGGGGGGAGGGGGGGGTGGATAGAGGGAGAGAGAGAGATGACTAGGTGCGATAAGGATGAATATCATCCTCCTGGTCTCAGATCTGGTCAGTACTGCTGGTTCACCTAAACTGGCTCCAGTCTCAAAGCTTTGGTGTTGATGGTATCCAATGGAGATTGTGAGGCAGAAGGTATTAACTACTGTGACTCCACAAACCTGCATCTTTAATCTGCACCACCACCTTTTTCATCTTTCCACCGTTTATTTTAATCTGCTCTCATTTAATGTTTGTATCTGACTGTGTATTAACCACAAGGTGTCTTTGGTCGCTCCAGGAGCCCTGTAACAAGCGGGTGAAGCCTCTTTCTCGGGTTACATCGCTGGCCAACCTCATACCTCCAGTCAAGGCTGCACCTCTGAAGCGCATCGGACAAACACTGCAGGTACAACAGTACACCACATAGTCTGTCGGGGCGGCTCGGGGCGTCAGGTAGCTTAGTGGTTAAGAGCATTGTGCCAGTAACCGAAAGGTCGCTGGTTCTAATCCCCGAGCCGACTAGGTGAAAAATCTGTCGATGTGCCCTTGAGCAAGGCACAACCCTAATTGCTCCTGTAAGTCGCTCTGGATAAGAGCGTCTGCTAAATGACTAAAATGTAAATGTAGTCTACTGAAATAACTATTCTGACAAATATGAGCACATAGGACAAACACTACAGGTACAGATAGTGTCAAATATAATTGGTAACACTTGAACTTAGCCTGAAGGTATGATGCAGTAATAATGCATTGTAAGACTTGTCATAAGAACAGTGCCTTCAGAAAGTATTCACACCCCTTGACTTTTTCCAGATTTTGTTTTGTTACAGCCTGAATTTAAAATGGATTAAGTTTTTATTTTTGGTCCCTGGCCTACACTCAATACCCTATAATGTCAAAGTGGAGTTATGTTTTTCAAAATGGTTACAAATTAATACAAAATGAAAAGTTGAAATGTCTTGAGTCAGTAAGTATTCAACCCCTTTGTTAGGGGAGCCTAAATAAGTACAGGAATAAACATTTGCTTAAAAAGTCACATACAGTGCTTTCAGAAAGTATTCAGACCCATTGACTTTTTCCACATTTTGTTATGTTACAGCCTTATTCTAAAATTGATTAAATTGTTTTTATTCCTCATCAATCTACACACAATACCCCATAATGGCAAAGCAAAAACACGTTTTTAGAAATTATTGCAAATGTTTAAAATATAAAAAAAGGAAATGTCATATTTACATAAGTATTCTGACCCTTTACTCAGTACTTTGTTGAAGCACCTTTGGCAGCGATTACAGCCTTGAGTCTTCTTGGGTAGGACGCTACAAGCTTGGCACACATTTATTTGGGGAGTTTCTCTCATTCTTCTTTGCATTCAGAAACTTGTCCCGAAGCGTTGTCCTGGCTGTGTGCTAAGGGTTGTTGCCCTGTTGGAAGGTGAACCTTCACCCCAGTCTGAGGTCCTGAGTGCTCTGGAGCAGGTTTTCATCAAGGATCTGTCTGTACTTTGCTCCGTTCATCTTTCCCTCAATCCTGACTAGTCTCCCAGTCCCTGCCGCTGAAAAACATCCCCACAGCATGATGCTGCCACCACCATGCTTCACCGTAGGGATGGTGCCAGGTTTCCTCCACACGTGACGTTTGGCATTCAGGCAAAGAGTTCAATCTTGGTTTCATCAGAACAGAGAATATTGTTTCTCATGGTCTGAGAGTCTTAAGGTGCCTTTTGGCAAACTCCAAGTGAGCTGTCATGTGCCTTTTACTGAGGAGTGGCTTCAGTCTGGCCACTCTATCATAAAGGCCAGATTGGTAGAATGCTGCAGAGATGGTTGTGTTTCTGGAAGAATCTCCCATCTCCACAGAGGAACTCTGGAGCTCTGTCAGAGTGACCATTGGGTTCTTGGTCACCTCCCTGACCAAGGCCCTTCTCCCCCGATTGCTCAGTTTGGCCGGGCGGCCAGCTCTAGGAAGAGTCTTGTTGGTTCCAAACTTCTTCCATTTAAGAATGATGGAGGCCACTGTGTTCTTTGGGACCTTCTATGCAGCAGAATTTTTTTGGTACCCTTTCCCAGTTCTGTGCCTCGACACAATCCTGTCTCGGAGCTCTACAGACAGTTCCTTCAACCTCATGGCTTGGTTTTTGCTCTGACATACACTGTCAACTGTGGGACCTTATATAGGCAGGTGTGTGCCTTTCCAAATCATGTCCAATCAATTGAATTTACCACAGGTGGACTCAAATCAAGTTGTAGAAACGTCTCAAGGATGATCAATGGAAACAGGATGCACCTGAGCTCAATTTCGAGTCTCATAGCAAAGGGTCTGAATACTTATGGAAGTAAGGTATTTCTGTTTTTTATTTTTAAAACCTGTTTTCGCTTTGCCATTATGGGGTATTGTGTGTGGATTGATGAGGGAAAAAATAATGTAATCAATTTTAGATTAAAGCTGTAACGTAAGAAAATGTGGAAAAAATCAAGGGGCCTGAATACTTTCAGAATGCACTGTAAGTTGCATGGACTCACTCTGTGTGCAATAAGTGTTTAAAATTATTTATTTAATGACTACCTCAGCTCTGTACCCCTCACATATAATTATCTGTAAGCTATCTCAGTCGAGCAGTGAATTTCCAACACAGATTCAACCACAAAGACCAGGGAGGTTTTCCAATGCCTCGCAAAGAAGGGCCCCTATTGGTAGATGGGTAAAAATAAAAATAAAAAACCAGACATTAAATATCCCTTTGAGCATGGTGGAGTTATTAATTACACTTTGGATGGTGTAGCAATACACCCAGTCACTACAAAGATACAGGCGTCCTTCCTAACTCAGTTGCCGGAGACGAAGGAAACTGCTCAGGGATTTCACCATGAGGCGAATGGTGACTTTAAAACAGTTGGAGTTTTTTGGCTGTGATAGGAGAACTGAGGATGGATCAACAACATTGTAGTTATTCCACATGAGGATGGATCAACAACATTGTAGTTATTCCACAATACTAACCAAAATGACAGAGTGAAAAGAAGGAAGCCTGTACAGAATACAAATATTCCAAAACATGCATCCGGTTTGCAGTAAGGAACTAAAGTAAAACTGCAAAAAATTTGGTAAAGAAATTAACTTTATGTCCTGAATACAAAGCGTTATGTTTGGGGTAAATCCAACACAACACATCACTGAGTACCACTCTTCATATTTTCAAGCATAGTGATGGCTGCATCATGTTATGGGAGTGCTCGTCATCAGTTAGGACTAGGGATTATTTTAGGATAAAAAGAAACTGAATAGAGCTAAGCACAGGCAAATTCCTAGAGGAAAACCTGGTTGTCTGCTTTCCAACAGACACTGGGTGACAAATTCACCTTTCAGCAGCACAATAACCTAAAACACAAGGCCAAATATACACTGGAGCTGCTTACCAAGACGAGATTGAATGTTCCTGAGTGGCCTAGTTAGAGTTTTGACTTAAATCGGCTTGAAAATCTATGGCAAGACTTGAAAATGGCTGTCTAGCAATGAGCAACTTGACAGCTTGAATAATTTTACAAGAATGTGCAAGTATTGTACATTCCAGGTGTCCAAAGCTCTTGGGGACTTAACCAGAAAGAATCACAGCAGTAATCGCTGCAAAACGTGATTCTAACATTGATGTAGGGGTGTGAATACTTATGTAATTGAGGTATTTCATTTTCAATACATTTGCAAATCTTTCTAAAAACATGTTTCCACTTTGTCATTATGGGGTATTTATTGTGTGTAGATGGGTTAGAGAGAAATAAATGTAATCAATTTTGAACTTGGGCTGTAACACAACAAAGTGGAATAAGTCAAGGGGTATGAATACTTTCTGAAGACCCTGTCTGTATGACCCCCTTATAATGTCTTATCATCTCATAATGACTAAATAACAGCCATTTTGAGTCAATGCAATTGAAATTACACCACATAATATTCTACCAAAAAAAAAAACATGAATAGTGTGATTGGCCGACCTAGAAGGTCCAACCATAGCCAGCTCAGCTGTTATGTTCTAAGTACAAATCGATCACTTTCCAGAACATCATCCACTAAGTAAGCCAGCCCTCCTCTGACCTGTGTTTGATTTCATACTCTTCTCTCAATCACTCACACAGTACTACTCACCTTCCTGTATGTCTCTCTATTCCGCAGCGTTCCATCAGCTTCCGCAGTGAGAGACGGACAGAGTCGGTCATGCCTCCCAGACCATGGACGCGGCCGGCCCCGCCTGCCAATACCAAGCGGCGTAACAGCAAGCTGTGGAGCGAGACCTTTGATGTGCGGCTTGGACACCAGATGCTGTCGTCCAAGGAGATCAATCGCCAGGAGGTGAGGAAAGCTTTTCAACAGGGGTAGTATGGGAGGTTACTATGTCAGAGCACGGCTACTAACACTAGGGTAACCTTGTCTCCAGAGAGCCGGCTTATGGACGAGACTATCAGGGTTACAAAGGGAGTACACAGTTACTATCAAAGGAATATAAATACTGTCAAGACTGTTGTATATGCACCTGTATAGTTTATTGCAACGTTTTGACAGGAAGGTTTGTCTGGCTTTGATTTCAAGGATTTCAACTGACATTAAAATGGAGGCCATGTCATAAACTTTTAGAATAGCATGGCTATACCAAGGATGTGCATCTCCTAGAATGCATGGAAGACTTTAGATTGAGGGCCCATAGCAAAATCCAAAACCAGAGAGAGAGAAAATCCCTAGATCCGAGTCCAGGGATGGGCAGCTGGCTGCCTTTTTAATAGGCCCATTGATGAATTTCCAAAAACCGGGCCCCTGACCCCAAAAATAAGAAAAAATACAATATATTTTTTTAGGAACTCAGTCGGGCTCTCAACTTAGAATAGTAGAATACACAAGGTGCAATTTTCATCAGCCCCCATTGATTGTGTTAGTCACTCTCACTCAGATATCATGTTAACATGGCATAAGTAATGGCAAAATGTGTAGAATTACAGAAAATTGCTTTAAAACTGCAACGTTTTCTCAACGGCCCATAGCAAAATGAGTAGAATTGCATGAAATTAACTTTAAAACAAAAAAATTCTCTCCGCTGTCAAGATGGGAGCCAGTAAAATGTATTGCACGCAAATCTCGCTTAGGGCCCCCAAAAGGCCAGGGCCGGCCCTATCTACTGGTATAATGCGTTTAGTTAAAGGTCTAATGCAGCTGTTTTTATCTCGATATCAAATCATTTCTGGGTAACAATTAAGTGTCTTACTTTGATTTTGTTTTCAAGTAGCCCTTTACACTCGTACGGGTTGAAAATGGCAGATTTGGGCACTAATAAGCGCGAGTACATTGGAATGTAGTGGCTGTAACATGCTATACATGACGTCAGAGCTCAGGGTCTCAGCTTCACAGCTCTGAATGGGTTTTGACTGACAGATGTTCTGAACTTGAGCACCGCCTGTGACAAGAAGTTGCCCCGATCCCTCCAGGTAATTAGGCAACTTTTGCAAAAAAAAAATGTCTGAGTGAGGGAAATGCTGTAAATTAAGATAACATTTTATTTTGAAAGATGAGACATTGAGGATTATTAATAAATACCGCTTTGATGTCATACAAGCTAGCCAAAAACAAATGTGCGCTTCACATATCCAAATCATCAGTCAACGTTTATGATCACTATGTTTGATGTACAGTTACAAGATGACATGTCGTCATACCCTGGGTTGTTCTGAACAGAATGAGCCGATGTTTGTTTATTGTTAAGAAAATGTGCCGCGGCACACGCACCTGAATGCACTGACTCCTTTCTATGCGCACCAAAATTACGATCTGTTTCTCTGAATTGCCTTGTGAAAGCCTAACACTGTAAGATCATATTTTATAACTTAGCTAGTCATGTTGGCAATAGAACACGCTTTCAAATCACGCCCACCTGACCTAGATTGTGATTTATAATGGTCCGTTTTTTGGATTGCGTAAACAACAACAGTAATTGTGTGCAAGTGTGCTTGCTCTAGTTCCTGAACGGCACAGCTAGGAGAGCTCAAAAAAGTACCTTCTAGTTGAAGACTATTCTTTGAGTCATAAAAGTGCATTGAAATTGCTTAGGAACTGTGTACATTTTGGAGAGGTGTGTGGCCACTTTGAGACACCAGTTAGTCATCTCACTCAAACCCTTGTCATTTTTTTGTCAACAAATAAGGTTAAAGTACAGTAAATGTAAAATGCACATAAAATTAACAGTGTAATGTTTGGATTCAGTCTTGTCAGGTGAACTGTTGTCCTCACCTTTGGTCTAATAATGTTCCCATTATCTCCAAACTGTTCCCTTTCAATTGCTACCATGGTTAAGCATATGCTTTTCATACAGTTGAAGTCGGAGGTTTACATACACCTTAGCCAAATACATTTAAACTCAGTGTTTCACAATTCCTGACATTTAATCCTAGTAAAAATTCACTGTCTTAGGTCAGTTACGATCACCACTTTATTTTAAGAATGTGAAATGTCAGAATAATAGTAGAGAGAATGATTTATTTCAGCTTTTATTTATTTCATCACATTCCCAGTGGGTCAGAAGTTTACATACACTCAATTAGTATTTGGTAGCATTGCCTTTAAATTGTTTAACTTGGGTCAAACGTTTCAGGTAGCCTTCCACAAGCTTCCCACAATAAGTTGGGTGAATTTTGGCCCATTCCTCCTGACAGAGCTGGTGTAACTGAGTCAGGTTTGTAGGCCTCCTTGCTTGCTCACGCTTTTTCTGTTCTGCCCACAACATTTCTATAGGATTGAGGTCAGGGCTTTGTGATGAAGCGCGTAGAGTCTTTCCTCGGTTGCAACACTCACTACAGAGTTCCAAACATGCCTTTGGAAGCAACGTCAGCACAATAAAAAATGTTGTGGCTGTTGAACAAGTTGAGGAGACTAAATTATTTGGCGTTACCTTAGATTGTAAACTGTCATGGTCAAAACATATAGATTCAATGGTTGTAAAGATGGGGAGAGGTCTGTCTGTAATAAAGAGATGCTCTGCTTTTTTGACACCACATTTAAAAAAGCAAGTTCTGCAGGCTCTAGTTTAGTCTTATCTTGATTATTGTCCAGTCGAGTGCTGCAAGGAAAGACCTAGTTAAGCTGCAGCTGGCCCAGAACAGAGCGGCACGTCTTGCTCTTCATTGTAATCAGAGGGCTGATATAAATACTATGCATGCCAGTCTCTCTTGGCTAAGAGTTGAGGAGAGACTGACTGCATCACTTCTTATTTTTATAAGAAACATTAATGTGTTGAAAATCCCAAATTGTTTGCATAGTCAACTTAAACACAGCTCTGACACACATACTTACCCCACCAGACATGCCACCAGGGGTCTTTTCACAGTCCACAAACCAGAACAAATTCAAGAAAGTGTACAGTATTATATAGAGCCATTATTGCATGGAACTCCGTTCCATCTCATATTGCTCAAATGAACAGCAAACCTGGTTTCAAATAACAGATAAAGCAACACCTCACGGCACAACCCCTCTCCCTATTTGACCTAGATTGTTGGTGTGTATGTACTGGTATTGATACGTAGGCTACGTGTGCTGTTTTTTAAATTTTTTATGTAGTTCTGTCCTTGAGCTGTTCTTGTCTATTAATGTTCTGTATAATGTCATGTTTCATCTTTTGTGTGGACCCCAGGAAGGGTAGCAGCTGCTTTTGCAACAGCTAATGGGGATCCTAATAAAATACCAAATACGAAAATCTTCCTCTGAGGAAATGGCAAGCATTTTTTAAACGGTCTGTTTGAAAGTTTGAGGTGGGGTTTTTGAAGTGTTTTCTTTAATTTTTTCAAAAATGTATGCTTTGGCCACATAGGAGTATAGGATGAGGCAACAACATTATTTGGGTATGAGTTAACAGAACATTAACTTTTAAAAGTGAGGTTTTCACTGGACAGTTACTTTAAACAGGAGCAGCAGGAATGGGTGGAGGGGCTCCAATAACATCCCCACTGATTCTCTCTGGTTCACCACTCTCCCAGGGCAGAGCATAGTCAGAGAGGGGAGAGACTAGAGGATCAAGTGCTATAAAACTTCAGTTTTTCAGAGTTCAAATTAGTAAGGCTTGTCTGAAACAACATGCCCACCACCCTCCACTCAAACTGGGACTCCACCTCTCAGGCCACACAGAGTAGACATAAAAGGACAGGGAAAATGGAATAGGGTGTTCACAAAAGAATCCATCTGTCCACTGGAAAGTATTGAGTTGTTATGGGTCAGTGGGGTCATGTATTTTCTTCTCTGTGTGCACAACAGAAGTCTGGTGGTAAAGTATTGTGGCTTTAGAGAGGCGAAGCGTTGAGCGCTTTAGATTTGTCTGTCTGCAGTTTGTTACTGTTGTGAAACACGCATATTTCATATGTACTCCTTTTACTAGAAAGAAAGAAATTATTAATGTTTTCATATGTTTTTTATCTTTGAAGGTGATACATTAATTGTTGTTATTCACTGAGATGTTTCACCGTTCTCTCTTTGTGTTTGCAGGCGATCTTTGAGCTTTCTCAGGGGGAGCAGGATCTCGTTGAGGATCTGAAGCTGGCCAAGAAGGTACGATCTGCTTTACCAGATAATTTCCCTTTTCATTGAGCGTGTCACAGCTGAGTTATTCTACCCTGCTGATCAGCCAGGCTCCAGTTTCCCCTGGGCTCACACCCCTTTGTGTTTGGGGCAGGAGGTTTCTCAAGTTGTTAGTCACACAGCACTTTCTATATATGACCATTACAGTAGATGTTCTCTGTTGATGTACAACAAGATGCCAACAGATGTTTAGTCTATAAGTCCAATACTGTTGCTGGAGTGAAAATATATTTTATATCTTATGGACATGTCCCGTTAGACGTCCGTTGCCTTTTTTAGTGCTGTTTTGTCAAGGGGATGATTTTTTTTTTTCCACAAATATTGGATGTGTTGTTTATATTCTGTCTGAGCTATGTAGCTTTATCAAACACTTGTTTATTAGTAGCATACGACGTGGATGTCTACATTCGAAAACCCCAAGGGTTTTTCCATCTTCAGGGCTCACTCTTGATTCAGCTTTTAATGCTTCTAAAACTTGTTTTAATGTAACAAGTGAGTAATATAGTGTAAAAATAGTGTTCTAACTTGCCGTTCTTCTTTTTCTGTACCTGTAGGCGTACCATGACCCAATGCTGAAACTGTCCATCATGACAGAACACGAGCTCAACCAGATCTTCGGAACCCTGGAATCTCTCATTCCGCTGCATGAAGGTGAGAATGAACATACACACACAAACACATACACATACAGTCATACACACACACACACACCCCCAAATGAGCCATTAGGGGCTCCCGAGTGGCGCAGCGGTCTAAGGCACTGCATCTCAGTGCTTGAGTTGTCACTACAGACCCCCTGGTTCGATTCCAGGCTGTATCACAACCGGCCGTGATTGGGAGTCCCATATGGCGGCGCACAATTGGCCCAGCGTCGTCCGGGTTTGGCCGGTGTAGGCCGTCATTGTAAATAAGAATTTGTTCTTAACTGACTTGCCTAGTTAAATAAATAAAAATTGACAGAGGTTGAGACCACTCCTTCTACTCACTATTCAGATCTGCTGAGTCGACTGCGAGAGGCCAGGAAACCAGACGGCTCCACAGAACGTGTGGGACACATCCTAGTGGACTGGGTAAGACCATCCGTTTCCACTTCATCTCCAAGGCACATGGTTTAAGCCTTTATCTATTGGTCACTTTAAACAATGAAAAGTGAAACAAAGCAAGTTCTCTGTCTTCATGCTAGAACTTCAGGTCAACCCACCATGAAATGGACCTTCAAAGATGAAACGATCGTCCTAAGTTTTTCTTCTTTGTTTTCTCGACGAAGAACGAGGTGATTGTTAGTGATGTTCCTATGAAAGGGGGTTGTGAGTCTAATGCTGCCTCCAGGGTAGTCATGTGGATGTATGAATGTGAACATGCACCCATCAACCCCTCTTCCATCGACATCAACTCCCTTCACAGAGTGAAGCATTAGAAATAGAAGTACTATTTTATACTTCTTCTTCATGCCTCTTCAACTGTATTAGAGGAGGTCCAATGTCCTTCCATTCAGGCCACCTTCTCCAAAGCAGTTTAAAAAGGAGGTGATGAGAGATTATTCGAGGAATCAAGGAAAGATTAATTAAGGAAGAGCCTCTAGCTCACAGTAAACATTATTTAATTTTTTTATCCTGGTCAAACTCTTGGCCATATAAGATTATACCAAGAAAGCGTATCTGATTGTTTACTTGGAAGAGCATGATCGATGTCAGGGCCTATATTCCCCAGCACAGCCAAAAGGATGTTATGGTTCTCATCAGGCCTCTCCCCCTAGCTTTGTATGAGTGTGTTCAGTATAATTGTGTGATGGTTTTGACTGTACATTCCTGCATGCCTCCAGAGTTTGGCTCTGGACATACTTTACCTACTGTAGGTAGTATTATATATGGTTCAGTGGCAGCGGGATTTTCTGCTCCCCCTCCCTAATGTCCTGCTTCTCAGAACTACCTGGGAGACACACACACAGCTGTTTCCGAATACCCATACTTGTGTACTAAATATTAGGCTGATTGGGTATGCAAAAATATAAAGTTTTATAGTATGTGCAATTTAGAAAATTCTATATGCTTTAAATGCCATTTTGGAGTTTCATCTAGTCGAATTCTCTGCAAACTATTGAGGAAGACAAACGTCTTTTCAGACACGTTTGTTTGACAAAAGCTGATAATCATCTGATAATTAGATTAATATCACTTTTGGTCAAATGCACACAATGTCAAACCCCTCCGAAAGACAGACGTACACATACATATACAGGTTTTTGAAGAGGTATGGGGGGCTGCCACACTGGGCGCCTGTTGTTGTGGGGAGTTAAGTACCTTGCTCAAGGGCACAACGGCAGGCAATGGCATGTAGAATTTGATGTGGCAACCCTCCGTTTGCCAGCTCAATTCCCGCCTGATTTTTGAAGTCGGACCCGGGATTCGAACTGGCAACTCTCCGGCTGCTGGCTCGCTTCTAACCGCTAGGCTACCTGCCGCCCCTTCAGATAAGGGGACGTGCTAACAAAATGAACGAATGGGGAAACAGCGCAATTGCGCATTAGATTACACATTTTCAGTATGGGTGAGCATAGTATGCTGATATGTGTTGCTTACTGCATACATTGTTACTAAACAGTACGTTCTAAATAGTATGTAATTTAGTATGATTAGTACACAGTATTTAGTTTTAGTAAGTAGTAGGCAAGAGAGATTTCAGCCACACACCCACACTCACTTAGCCCTTCTCTCTGTACTTCTGTTCATCCTCTGTGCTCTGGCTGCACCAGCCCAGTTACATTCCTATAGCTTTCAACGTGATGTAGTCCAGGTACATGGAAGAGCAGTTTGCCAAAAACTCTAGCACACTGGTACTCTATTCTTGTATTGTTCTCAATATATAAAAACGATTATTGTATTATTCTCAATATATAAAGACTTGGAGTCTTTGGTTGTATGGGAATACTACACAGAGCTAGAACAGGAACGTATGGAGGCCTAACATCTGAAACATTTGCACAATAAATAAGTGATACTTTGCAAGTGTGCACTTAACTGAAGCAGAAACACCATTACTGACCTCTTTCTCTATCTCCCTCCCTCCCCTCCAGCTTCCCTATCTAGACTCCTACAACTCATACTGCAGTAATCAGGTGGCAGCCAAGGCTCTGCTGGACCATAAGAAGCAGGACCACCGGGTGCATGACTTCCTGCAGCGCTGCCTTGAGTCGCCCTTCAGTAGGAAGCTGGACCTGTGGAACTTCCTGGATATACCCAGGAGCCGGCTGGTCAAATACCCCCTGCTGCTCAGGGAGATCCTCAAGCACACGCCTAACGACCATCCGGACCGACAGCACCTGGATGAGGCAGTGAGTAGAGCGGGAAAGGGGGAGAGAGGGAGAGACCCACATATACGCAAACACGCACACTGACACCCCCACACAAATGTAAACACACACACACACACAAATCCCCACTCACAATCCCCTATCTCTTCCTCTCTCCAGATCAACATGATCCAGAGCATTGTGGCAGAGATCAACACCCAGACAGGCGAGTCAGAGTGTCGTTTCTACAAGGAGCGTCTCCTCTACCTTGAGGACAGCCAGAGAGACCTGCTCATTGACCACTCCCGCATCCTCAGCTGTCACGGGGAACTGAAGAACAACAGGGGTGCTGTGAGTAGTGCTGCCTGTCGATCATAATAACACAATGCTTTGGAGTGGCAGAGGGGCGGGATAGGATAGGGAGGGATACAAAAGGATAGGATGGATATTTGTAAGGATGGAAATTTGCCTGAATAATAACATGGACGCTGTGAGTGTCTGTCCATTACTTTTCAGTGTCATTCACACAAAAAGTACTTTAACACTGCACTGTAACATCCACTGACAGTAAATGACAATGCTTAAGAACACGCCACTGCTAGCTACGTCCTCTGAAGTAAGTAAGGTCAATGGTGAGAAGATGTTTGTTAAGAGAGGGGGCAGTGTCTTCCTCTAAGAGACTTACCTTATTGCCATTTAGATATATGAATAGCCTCTAAATCCACACAGACCCATGATGGTACGAGCAAACCCTTTGACCATGACCCCTAAAGCACCTCGCTCTCACCACATATCAATCTGTCTACTGGAGGTCAGGGGTCTGCTCTGAGCGCGTAGGTTCACCTCTAGGCCCTCTCTGGGTCATCTTTCCTGCTGAGATAACAACAACCCGAATAGAGGAGAGGTTTCCTGACGTGGGTTCAAATACTATTTGAAATCATTTTAAATGCAGGGCAGTCCTTAAGTGCTGATGTTGTACAGTAAGGATCTGGAAAGATTATGTATGGAGGAATGGTCTAAGATCCCTCCTCCCAATGTTCTCCAATCTCTCCAAGCTCAAAGAGGGTGGCAGGTAGCCTAGCGGTTAGAGTGTTGGGTCAGTAGCTGAAAGGTTGCTGGTTCGAATCCCCGAGCTGTCAAGGTGAAAAATCTGTCTGTGCTCTTGAGCAAGGCACTTGACCCTAATTTGCTCCAGGGGTGCCTTACTACTATGGCTGACCCTGTAAAACAACACATTTCACTGCACCTATCCAGTGTATGTGACCATAAAATAATAATAAATACATAAATATTTTAGAAAAAGGCTGTGTATTTTTTGCTTATCTTTATCATGGGCGCCAATCATTTTGGACCTGACTGTATCTCTGAGATTTGTGTATGAAATACAGCTTGGCAACTGGAGTGTATTTAAAGTAAAGATACCATCCACACTGGTGATATTTTAACTATTTTCTAGTCTGAGGAGTTTGATTTCCAGGAACAGTTGATATAAAAACTAACTTGACCTGCTGCTGAAATACATGTATCTGTCCGTGTTTGGTCCAATGACATTATTTCCAATGCAGTTCTTAATTGTATTGTATTATGATGTATTGCATTTTATTTTTGGATTGCTTACTGCTGCCTCCAAGGCTCCCTTTATCTCTCGTGGACAGACTACTACGTAAATGAGCATCTGACCAAATTACGCAAGAGGGCTACCTTTTAAAAAAGAGATTCCTACCTCAATGAGAAACCTTGATAAATATATGTTTCAAATGAGCCAAAAACACCATACCCTAAAACCCTTCTCTTCCCGCTCGCTCCAGAAGCTGCATGTGTTCCTGTTCCAGGACGTGCTGGTCATCACTAGAGCCATCACCCACAATGAGCAGCTGCACTATCAGCTGTACCGCCAGCCCATCCCCGTCAGAAAGCTGCAGTGGGAGGACCTGCAGGACGGGGTGATACGCCTGGGAGGCTCCATCAGAGGAGCCTTCAGCAACAACGAGAGGAGTGAGTGTTTACTCCATAGAATTACATATAGAACATTTGAATATGAGTTATAGGATCTCTATGGTTTATCCCTAGTGGATCGGGACTGTTGCCGCTGATGACTGGAGCTTGACACCCCTGGACTATTAATGCTGTGGTCATTAACTTGCAATCTGCTTGTATCCAATTTCCCCCTGTCTAACCTCTTCATCTCTCCTCAGCCAAGAACTTCTTCAGAGTGTCGTTTCATTGCAGTGGCCAGCTCCACTCCCACTCCTTCCAAGCCAGCGATGCCTTCAACAAACAGCAGTGGCTCAACTGCATTCGCCAGGCCAAAGGAGCTGCTGAGTCGGCCATGGGGGTGGTGGGGACCAGTAGCAGTGACCCAGAGCCCCCTCCAAGCCCACTCAGCCCCCAGGGCCTTCTGAGCCCTGCAACACCTCCCCTCTCAGGACCACTGGCCCCCCAGCCAAAAAGCATGGACCATTGCGACAGTGACTCGTCTGTAGACTCTCTAGGCTGTAGCATGGACATGGACACAAGCGTTGCCCAGATGGACCAAACACACTCTAGTAGCAGCAGGCCATCAGAAGTTTGACCTTTTGGGTGTCATGGCCTCTCTGGTTTAGAGAGGCTAGAGGCTAAACCTGGGCAATATTGGTGGCAACATGGCAATGCTCTCTATATACGGGAGGGAAGAAAAACACTGGATATTGCAGCACTTCTTTATTCTACCCTCTTTTTCATTTGTTAGTGTTCTTTGTCGCTAAACTTGAAAAAAACGAATTCGCTCTCGCGATCACTCCCTCTATCTCTTGAGCGTCTTTCTATGAGACTGTGGTGTAGTCTGTAGCAGTGACAACCATGTGTCTTAGCTGTGACTGTCAGGTCTACTATGAATGTCTACATGGAGAGGAGGGAAGGCAGACATGACTGGGACCTCAGGACCGTATTTTTGTTGTTTCTCCTGGTCCGACTCTGCTGTATGCTGAGTGTCCCTACAAGCCCTTCTCATCACCTTTTCACGACAGACTAGAGACACTGCCATCACCCCTTATCCCACTGCAGTACTACTGTGGCCTCCCAGAGATAAAAGAATACATTGATGATATTCTCTTTATATGTATGTGTATACTGAACTAAAATATAAATGCAACATTTTTCAACTTTCCATATGTGCAAAAAGCTTATTTCTCTCAAATTTGTGCAGAAATGTGTGTGTGTATTGATGTAGGAATCTAGAGAACATGTTGTGTTTGCAATACCCAGTCAAAATGACCAGCAGAATGTTTTCAAAGACAATCAATATGATGATGATGTTGTTGTTGTAGTACTTGACATGGGGTTGCAGGGTGGTTCGTTAAGGACCGCTTACCACAATGGTGTAAAAGGGGGCAAAGGTGTTCACGACAGAATCTTCCCACATCTTGGCCAGAGTTGAAAGCTATGGTGTTCCAGAAGTCAGGAACTGGCAGCTTCTAGAACAGATGCTAAACTAGAGAGAGGAAGTAGAGCGAGAGAGATTCTCCCCCCCTCCCCATATGGCCTCTTGGTTATGTAACCTAGTACAAACACGTCACTCAGAGGGGAGAGCTATTGGTGGGGTTTGATTCATTTCATAATCTATTGTTGTTTATTTAAATCTCCTCTCTAAAGTCAATCTAAGTAAGCGCAACATTCAATTATTACATGAAATTCCCAAATTATGCAGAAAGACCTGAAAGGATTCCATAGTCGGGCAGTTTGACCACGTCTATCTCTACAAGATTCTGCAAGAAGTGGGAAATGTAGCATTTGACAGAAAGTAAAGTACCCATCCTGGAGGAAGCAGGATTTTCCGTGGTGTTAAGAGTCAATGTCTTAAAGAGAAGTTTTGGATTAAAGCCAGTATTCAATTAATTACTGTTGGTGTGTTTTTAATAGTCACGTTTTCATCACCCACAAAGTCACTCACTGGTCGCTCCCGTAAAAAGCGAAGTGGAGACCTTATTGTTTAAAAGAAGTAGTCACTTGTTTGTGTATGTATACTCTGACCAGTCCTCTGTCACTGAGTGCTCTGTGTTGAACTGACTATGACTGCAAAATCGTTGCCAAAAATGTGTCCGGTAATTATGATCTTGTGAAAGTTTACTTGTGGGGCCTCATGTTCTTTCTCATTTGTATAGAAGTTCACGTGTTTAAAAGGAATCGTTTTGACCAAGTAATCACTAAAAGAAATATCCCAAAACAGTATATTATATTTTAGTTTCTTTTTTGTTTGTTTTATAAAGAAAATGTATTGAAATCTATTATTTAGGATCTCTATTTGTAGTTTATTTTTCACTATGAATTAATGTTATATATGCTTTTATTTGGTTCGTGTTGGATACGGGAGGTGAGACGGTTGCACAGGGCGGTATTGGAATGGGAAGGGCCTAAAGAACGAGACTGGAAAAGAAGGGTTTCGGAACGAGCTACTGCATGTAGTTGTAGGCTATGTACTGTAAGCCAAGCCCTCAGATACATGGAATTGAAAGGAAAATATGGTGGTGAGAGAGTTTGTGAACCCTTTAGGTCAAATTTATGCAGAAATACAGAAAATCCTCAAATGTGATCAGATATTCATCTAAGTCCTAATAATAGATCAAGTGAACTTGATAAAACAATTGTACTTTTTTTCTTTGAGGAAATTGATCCAACATTCAATGTATTTGTCGGAAAAGGTATGTGAACCTCTAGATTAATCATCTCAATTAAGTGTATTAAAAAGTGTAGTATTTGGTCCCATAATACAAAAAATCCTAAAGGGTTCGCAAACTTTCTCTCACCACTGTATATACTTGACATTGTAAGATGATGGCTATATGAACTGACTGAGAAAGATTGACATGAAAAGACTGTACCAAGTCATATTTGTCATGTGTATTATGGTCTGTTGTGATATTGTGGTACAGTGCCTTCAGAAAGTATTCACAACCCTTGACTTTTACCACATTTTGTTGTTACAGCCTGAATTTAAAATTGATTAAATTGAGAGTTTTGGTCACTGGCCTACACGCAATACCCTATAATGTCAAAGTGGAATTATGTTATTCAAAATATTTACAATTAATACAAAATGAAAAGCTGAAATGTCTTGAGTCAATAAGTATTCAACCCCTTTGTTAGGGCAAGCCTAAATAAGTTCAGGAATACAAATTTGCTTAACCCCCCTAACTGTGTGCAATAATAGTTTTTAACATAATTTTTTTATGACTACCTTATCTCTGTATCCCTCACATAAAATTATGTTAGGTCCCTCAGTCGAGCAGTACATTTCCAACACAGATTCAACCACAAAGACCAGGGAGGTTTTCCAATATTTCGCAAAACTGGGCACCTATTGGTAGATGGGAAACATTTTAAAAAGCAGACATTGAATATCCCTTAGAGCATGATGAAGTTATTAATTACACTTTGGATGGTGTATCAATAACCCAGTCACTACAAAGATACAGGTGTCCTTCCAAACTCAGTTGCTGGAGAGGAAGGAAATCGCTCAGGGATTTCACCATGAGGCCAATGGTGACTTTAAAACAGTTACGAGTTTAATGGCTGTGATAGACACCAGACACTGGGAGATGTTTTGATCACACAGACTGGGATATATTCCAGGTTGCCTCTGAGAATAACATTGATGTATACACGGACTTGGTGACAGTACATCAGGAAGTGCATAGAGGATGTTGTTCCCACTGTGAAGATTAAAACTTATCCAAACCAAAAACTGTAGATCGATGGCAGCATTCACGCAAAACTGAAGAGCGCGAACCACCACATTTAACCACGGCAAGGGGCCTGGGAACATGGACGAGTACAAACAGTCCAGCTATGCCCTCCGTAAGGCAATCAAATAGGCAAAACGACAGCACAGAGACAAAGTGGAGACTAAATTCATTGACTCACACATCAGCCTTATGTGGCAGGGACTCCAGACAATCACAGATTATAAAGGGAAAACCAGCCACGTCGCGGACACCGATGCCTTGCTCCTGGACAAGCTAAACGCCTTCGAAACGAACCCACAACCCTGGCGTTGCAAGCGCCATGCTCTACCAACTGAGCTACAGGGGATTCTCCGTGGCCAAAGTCAGTAAGATATTTAAACGTGTTAACCCCCGCAAGGCTGCCGGCCCAGATGGCATCTCTAGCCGCAGACCAGCTGGCTGGAGTGTTTATGAACATATTCAATCTCTCCCTATCCCAGTCTGTTGTCCCCACTTGCTTCAAGATGTCCACCATTGTTCCTGTATCCAGGAAAGCAAAGGTAACTGAACTAAATTACTATCGCCCTGTAGCACTCACTTCTGTCATCTTGAAGTGCTTTCAGAGGCTAGTTAAGGATCATATCACCACCACCTTACCTGACACCCTAGACCCACTAATATTTGCATACCGCCCCAACAGATCCACGGATGACGCCATCGCACTGCACACTGCCCTATCCCATCTGGACAAGAGGAATGACTATGTAAGAATGCTGTTCATTGACTACAGCTCAGCCTCCAACACCATAGTGCCCTCCAAGCGCATCACTAAGCTCAGGATCCTGGGCCTGAACCCCGCCCTGTGCAACTGGGTCCTGGACTTCCTGACAGGCAGACCCCAGGTGGTAAAGGTAGGCAAAAACACCTCCGCTATGCTGATCCTCAACACAGGGGCCCACAAGGGTGTATGCTCAGCCCCCTCCTGTACTCCCTGTTCACCCATGACTGTGTAGGAACTTTAGTGGTCTAATAATTGTTGATAATTGGTAACTTCATTAATGAATCTGCCTACTATTTCAAATGAATAACGTATAAGGGCACCAGTAATAGTTTTTATTCAAAGATACAATTAATTTGAAACTCTGATTAGTAGTTTAGCCTCCGTTCATCAAGTCTAATAACAATCTTAAAGGATACGTAAGGTATTTAATTGTATTAGAGCCAGCATTTGTCAAAGCAAGAGAAAACCACACTTCTTTAAAGGCAGGATTTATTATTACGTTAAGAAACACACAATAAAATAAACACAAAGATTATGATTGATCTATTAAGGTTATAAGTTCGAATCCAGGCTCTGTCGTAGCCGGCCGCGACCGGGAGACCCATGGGGCGGTGCACAATTGGCCCAGCGTTGTCCAGGGTAGGGGAGGGAATGGCCGGCAGGGATGTAGCTCAGTTGGTAGAGCATGGCGTTTGCAATGCCAGGGTTGTGGGTTCGATAAAAATAATGTATGCGCTAACTGTAAGTCGCTCTGGATAAGAGCGTCAGCTAAATGACTAAAATGTAAATGTAAATGTAAATAAAGTCCACCTGTGTGCAATCTAAGTGTCACATGATCTGTCACATGATCTCAGTATATATACACCTGTTCTGAAAGGCCCCAGAGTCTGCAACACCACTAAGCAAGGGGCACCACCAAGTAAGCGGCACCATGAAGACCAAGGAGCTCTCCAAACAGGTCAGGGACAAAGTTGTGGAGAAGTACAGATCAGGGTTGGGTTATTCCCACGGGGGGCCAGTATGTGTTATTTCATAGTTTTGATGTCTTCACTATTATTCTACAATGTAGAAAATAGTACAAATAAAGAAAAA